ACCACAGACAGCCTGTACACATACACCTGAAAGCATGGCACTCCAGGTAGGACACGCGCGCACGTAGGGTTTAGGGTGTGGCCCGCACGTCATCCCTCATCACTATTATTGACATGCATGATCGGGGAGGTAAACAAGCATAATAAAATAAAATCGTGTTGATACATTACCAGTGGAAATGCGCAGGTCGAATCGATAGTATCAATAATACATTCAACAATACAAAAAATAATAATAAAAACAAGAGCACTATTCTATTCAGGAGGGATTCAAAGAAATTGCAAATGCATTAAAACCTGAAATTTAATAAAGTGTTACTGATTTTTTTTTCTGTTGGTGTGGCAGTATTATGATTCCATACAATACAGCTGCAAAACACTATTTGTCACTAACCACACTTAAAATAAAATAATCAAAATGTTTTTTTTTCTAGGTGATGATACTGTTTTGTCATTTTTAATCCCAGCATGTCTAAGTTTCACCTTTTCGCGCATTTATTTTGCCCAATCAAGTTTTTTTTTACTTAATGTTGTCGTTTTGGGGCGTAGCCAAGCCCTATTTATCGTGGAAAATGCACATTGAAACATGCATATTGGAGTTTATCACCATTTTTAAAAGAAATTTTGGGGTTTACATATATATTTTCAAATATGCGTCAATTACATGCAGATTTTCTATCTGTCCGCAGTATAGTTTTAAGTTGTAATATCACCATTCACCACTTGATGGGAGACACGGCTTAGTTGCGTTTGCACTTGGTCTTAGCAATGCCCTATCCAACGTAATTTTTTTGTGGATTTGAAATGGCATGCAGAACATACATTGTAATATTAGTAAACATAGTAACTCAAAATTATAAGTGAGTTGATTTGTGAGAAAATGCACAAAATGAGTTCTGACAACCACTCTTGTTATTGAAGGCTGGATCATTTATAGCCTACATGCATTGAGCATGAAATATATGAAACATACTGTCAATTCTGCTACTCGAAATTGATATCTGGTGCCGGTCGACAAATCTCCCTCAGCTTCTGGTGGCCATAACGAATGTTCGCAGAACCAATTGTGTATAAACAAGCAATGGAAGTGTGGAGGTCTAAGCCGATGCGCATGTTTGTGCTGGCTAGCATTAATGCTACATGGCTATTATTAGCGCTACTATACACTTCTGTGGCTCATTAATAAATGAGGAGAAACAGCTGCGTGTGCCTATGAAACAAATTTAATTCCACTTGAAACATAAAGCATGACGTGGACAACTGTTTGGGTCATGTGAATTACCCGACTTTGGTCTTCTCAGGCGGGAACACATACCTGGCGGGTGACTATCGCAGCGGCCATCTTCATCCTGATGACGCTGTTCATCTTGTACAGCTCCAGCTCAGGCTCCATCGCCAGCATCAGCCAGGCGGCCTACACGCCCTTCCAAATCGCTAAAAACCACACGCCCAAGCCCACAAACCTCAAGAAGTGGGCCACCAAAGATGACTACGTGCCAGTCTACGGCGACAAGGTAAGCACTACCGCGTTAGCGCCGGCGATAAGAAGTAACAAAGTACAAACACATTCATACTAATTTCTTTTAGTAGATGTTTCAGTAATGCGTCGATACTAAAAGCTATCGAATATTTTCCAAATTGTTTATTCCACGATTCCCTGTGGATTAATTGAATAATCAGATAATTTCTTTTGAGTGTAGCAATTCGCCACTGTGGAATAAGGATCACCGTTAAACTTCAGGGTAGATATTTTGCTTGGACTTTTTTTGTAAATGAATGGCAGTTGAAAGTTAGTCGATGAATCGTTTCAGCCGTACTTTACTTTTTTTGAATGTACTTTTTACTTTTACTCTCCACATCTGTACATTCTACTCATTCCGTTTTCAACCTTCTGCAATTTTTTTAAAATCACATTTTAGTCATTTGTGCTGAATCATTTCAACCTGATGAACCTTACAATTTTTCTACCGACTTTTGAGTTTTATTCCTGAGATACTCTTTTCTTTTTTCTCCTTACTTTCGGAAACCACACCCATCAGTTTTTTTTCCCAGTCACTGCACTTCACGAAAGAGCATTACAAAAAAAAAAAACACCAACCGCTGTATGTAAAGTTTGGTATCTTTTGTGCCACTTTCTGCCCTCTTTGGTTATTGAGTGATAATTGTCACCCTTGTGGGCAGAGAATGACCCAACGCTGCCATCACTGTGCCCTGGTCAGCAGCTCCAGCCACGTGCTGGGCACTCAAGCGGGCGAAGAGATCGACAGCAGCGAGTGTGTGATCCGCATGAACGATGCACCCACGACGGGGTACGAGGCCGACGTGGGCAAGCGCACCACCCTGCGGGTGGTGGCCCACTCCAGCCTGTACCGGGTGGTCCGACGCCCCAATGAGTTCATGGTGGTGGGCGCCGAGAGCCAGCGCACCATCATCTTCTGGGGACCCCCAAACAAAATGACGAAGGACTCAAAGGCGACCGTGTACAGAGCCATCCAGAGGATCAGCTCCACCTACAAGGAGGTGCCGTGTTTTACCGTTGCGCCTGAAAAGATGCGCAGATTCGACAAGCTCTTCCAATTGGAAACGGGACGAGACAGGTGAGCTTCATGGGGGTTACAGTAATCCGCTTGCCATTCAGATAGCTGCAATCGCCCCGCAAAACAATTTTGAATTGCCTATACTTGATAAATCCATAAAATGGCGGCAAAGAAATATTTTTATATTAGCCTGAGCTGTGGCTTCTTTAACTCATTCACTCCCAAAGACGTTTTTAAATGTCTTTTCAGACTTGGCCCAGAATTGGCTGGTACTGAATGAGTTAATAAAAGTCCCCCCCACCCCTCACCTCAACATAGTTCCTTGGCTACAAGGTGTCACAAAGTGGCAAAATATTGATATTGTTTATAGATATCAGCAAAGCGCGACTTTTCCACTAGCCAAGATGTCATCTCCTGGTTTTCTCTTTGTTTAGGCAAAAATCGAACTCATGGCTGAGCACGGGCTGGTTCACCATGGTCATTGCTATCGAAATATGCGACAACATCAAAGTGTACGGGATGGTTCCGCCCAGTTACTGTGGGTGAGTATTGATGTGTGACTTCCTCTGTCCTTTTGGCCTTTCGGATATTTTGTGAAAGACATGCCTACCAATTTCATCTTGCTACCTGAAACAAGCTTTGGGGGCTGAAGTTTCAAAACAATCTTGATCCCCTAGAAATGAAATGGACCCTTAAGTTTAATTTGGAATCAAAACGGCAGACTTTTTGTCTCTTTTCAGACAGGGAGGGTGGGACAGACTTGTCAAAACAATCCTTTGCTTGAACTGGCCAAACTGCCCCTCAAGTGGCTGCTTGGAACCAAAATGGCAGACTTTCTGTTTCTTTTTCAGCTATGGCTTCCAGAGACTTTTGTTTTTTTTGTGGGTCAACTCAGGATAGATGTCTACCAAATTTCATGTTGCTATGTAAAACATGCTTCGGGGGCTGAGTTTTCAAAAAGGAGGATTTCTTGAAGCAACCTTCTTTGCAGGAACCGGACCGGATCCAAGAAGTTGCCGTATCACTACTACAACCCGCGGGGTTCTGACGAGTGCATGACGTACATACAGAACCAGAACAACCAAAAAGGGGGCCACCACCGCTTCATCACCGAAAAGCAGGTTTTCGGTCACTGGGCGCATCAGTACAACATCACCTTTGCTCATCCCACGTGGTGAGACAGTTTCCTCGAGGAAAACGGATGCTCGGATATGGGATGGCATCCACTTTCAGGGATCTCTTCGAAGTGGGAAGAAAAAAAAAACTGCTACTGACACACCGAATGTTTTTCAACGTATTCTTGTTGTGTGTGTGTATGTGTGATTTTTTTTTTTTTTTTTTTTTACAAGTTTGCAGTATTTGTACCTTTTATGTATTGAAGATTAGGACTGCTAATTCAGGAATTTGTTACATTGGAAACTTTCCATGGGAGTAAACCTGGCTCTTCACAGGGAACTTAAATATACAGAGGAAACTTGACATACAAGTTTAATTTGGTTCGTGACCAAGCTCGTCATTAAATTTGACCAGTATTTTTTTCCCCATTGAAATGAATTGAAATCCCATGACATCCAAGTGCCCCCAACTTGAGTTTTTTGAGTTCTGAGTGTCACTTGTTTTGAGTGGGGGTGTGCCACCGCTCAACTGAAGTGAAAAATTAATATAGTGCAATTTAAAAAACCTGTAATGCCCGGGCATGTGGGCAAGGGGAGTCATCTTATTTTGCTTGTCCGCTTATGACAAAACGAAATTGTTATATGTTAATGTCCGTTGCGTCGTTGCCTTAAAATACCCTCAATTCCCAGTTAATTCCCATGTAAAGTTTCCAATTTGGAATATTTTCTAAAACTTCCCATGGAAACTTTCTCGAAATGTTCCAACTCTTTGTGACCCTAAAGATGACGCACTGATTCTTCCCAACATTAAGAAAGGTGTTAAAAAAAAAAAAAAAATCATTTTCATTTCAAATCATCAGCAAGAAAAGTGCATGCTGGTGTCTCCTGCTTTGATGGCAAAAAATTGCTAAAGCTGTCCTTGACAAAATGTTTCAAATTGAAAGCAACTTCTTCGGTTATCGGAGCCATTTTTAAAGAGAAAAGCAGGATGGGGACGAGACGTTTCCCTTTTTGGGAGTAAAAGCCATCGGGGCGGGGGTTATGTCACAACTTGGCTTGATTTGTTTTAAATGTGAAAGCAAACATTTTGTTGACTTGACTGAAATAAAGATAATATTGATTTGAATGCAACATTAATATGCTTTTTTTTAATTTGTCTTGATTCTTTTTTTTTGTGTCCCTATCAGTTCTCATTGTGAAAAGATATACTACTGAATGGCTTTTCTGCACAATAATAAGGCAAGCTCTTAATTAGCATGATGCAATTAGCATGCAGTTGACAACTAGTATTCGGTTTGGCTTCACCGGTAACGCGTAGATGCCCTCTTAGTACACCAAAGTTGTCCGAGTGAGGAAAAAGAGCTTACTAGTGCATGGGCTGAATCAAAAATTGACCACAAGAGTTTGCCTCGCTCTGCTCTACACTGTTCATTTCATAGACACTGAAAAACAGGTCCCACGGAAGGTTTCTGTCAATAAACACGTAATGGGGAATGCAAATATTGATAATGTAATTACATGGAAAAAAAATAAAAAAGGACCGGCAACACCTTTTAAGCACTGGAAAAGGTGGCTGCTATCTTCTGCCTCAGCGTCGCCATGGAGATCAAAATGGCTTCCTGCGTGAAAACAAGACCAGGAGTGGTTGAGTTTACATTGGGACTAGGTCAAGTGATGCAAAAAATCAAAATGTATATAGCATGTTCATCTTTTTCAACGATGTGTCTCACCTCTGTGCGAATGGTGCGGCTGCCCTGGGCAGGACAAGTGTTGAGGTAGAGGTCAAAGAGGACACTGGGACACGTCACGTCCAGGTTCTGGTCGGCGTCTAGACTGGCCTCCAGTCCCTGGAGACCTCCAAAGACCACCAGAAGATGCCTGCAAATGTTGTCAATGAGAAACAGCAAACAGGCACCGGTGGAGAATTGTGACAGGCGGGTTATTTACTTGAACGGCGGCAGCGAGGCCTCGTCAACGCTGCTGCCTTTTTCCGACGTCCCGACGGTCACGTCGTAGCCGTCCTTGTACGGACTTTCGGTGAACACTGCGCCTGTGGAAAGAAAGTATCATAACAAATAAAATGAATACATTAGCCAGTTTTTGAACGTTACAAAATTCCGGAATTAGCGGCCGGGGGTAGTCGGGGTTCGGGCATCCAATTCTGGCATAGTACTACTGTGACTACTCAGGAAAAGTTATGGAAAAGGAATTCACTATATTGTGCTTTCTAAAAAAATAAATAAAAAAATACAATATTGAAAATTATACACAATGTAAAAAAATGTATTGTTTTTACGAGCAGCCACCTCGGGGCAGTACAATACAAACATACTGATAAACAAGGAGAGATGGTCACTACTCAGGAGGCCACTGTCATCATAAAGAATATATGCCAGTGAGTATTGTATAGCATATCATCTGTCTACATATGTTGCTCCACCATTTATGTTTCAATGTCTTTTGCTGAAACGGTTGTAATGCCTCAATACTGATGCAATTAGCCCATCGATGGTGTTTTGCATTGTTTGTTAGCATTAAGCTAAACAGATGATTCGAAGGGAAAGCTATGCGAAGGGAAAGCTATGCGGTTGATTTAAATCCACAGCGTGTAATTGTCTTTGTGTTATGTTTAGTTTGACTGTAAACTTCACCTTGTGGTGACAACAAACAACTTCTGTTTTTTTGAAGATTCAGTCACTCGTATCTCTGTGCTCCACTGTACAAGCTGTTTCATTTCATTTGGGTGGGAAAAGGAAGGCCCTTTTTTCCCCGCTTTTCTTGAGTGGATAACAGTCAGCAGTATTGGAAATATGGTTGAGTGTTAAGTTCGGGGAAGACCTACTGAGACAGGATGCCAGGCGGACGCTGTAGCCCCAGTAAAGCCCTCCTTTCGTGGTGGGCACGTGAGGAGCCACCACCACCCCTTTGTAGGATTTGCTCTCTAGACGACAAAGCAGACATACACACGTGACTTCACATCTTAATGCAAACATTTTGAGAACGTGACCATCCATCACCTTGCTTCTGCGTCGTGTTGAGATGCACAGTGACTCGCAATCCCGCTTGCAGATGTTTGTCGATCTGCACCTCCTGTAGAGGCACAGGAGCCAAGAAGGTCATGATTTGGAGAAGAACAATGTCTAATGGTGACGGTTCCTGGTCCTTACCTTCCTCATGCCACAGTTGACTAAAGAACCTTTGCCCGCTTTGGTGGGCCTATCCAGGACGATGCCTTCACGGTATTCCGATTCCTCATCGATTCTCATGTGGTGGGGACTGTCCAAAGGGTTCAGCAGTCCTTCGAGCAACCCATAAACCAGAGGAACATTCAGAGAAAGAAAATAACAGTCACACTAAGCTCGGATTTAATTACGTTAGTACAGTGGCATATTTTTGGTAAGAGTTGTATGGCAGCGAGCTTAGAAAGCAGACATTGGGCAAAAGAAATTTGAATTTAAAACTAAACATGAATCAAAGAATTACACGTTGGCCACACGAATTTGCCTTACAAAAGTCTGCTAGCCGGATGCTAACCCAGAATCAATGTCGCGGCAATCATAAACCTTTAGACAATTCACATTTGAACACAAGCGGTATCAGCACATGCAAACGACGACCACGATCGATTTAACGCAGTAATAGGGAGGAGGGTAAGTCCGTAAAAGCGATTTGTCTTTTCAGATTGAGGTCCTTTGTTTTCTTGGCCTAAAAATAACCAATTGCTGAACATATTAGCCCAATTTAAACCAAAACGATGATATTTACTAACTGCAAAAAAAAAAAAAAAAATCTTGTATTATCTTCAAAATTAGAAGACATTATCAACATTATAAGAACGATGAAAATGTGCAACATCAATTCCAAATGAGTCCAACTGAAATCATGTTTGTTGTATACTGACGCATAACCCAAATGAAAACAAATTCAAATGATGTTGCATACCTGCATACTGCAAGTCTTGGTGCTTTGGGAAGAACCATTTGCGCAGATACCTTGCACAGATGGGAAATTCATGTTACGTATAACAATGAGCAGATGTAAACATTGCGCGGTTTCTCCACACTCACTGGGGACACTCCAGGTATTGGAGTATTCTGGCCAGCTGAACGCACGCTTGTCCCTTCTTTCTGATTCCTTTGAATTCACCTTCCACGCTCCTGTGGACAAAAAAACAAAACAAAAACAAAAAACCCACTGAAGCTGAATATTGTTTACTTTTTGTGAGCAGGGTATTTTTCCACCTCCGACAAACTCACTTGACATCTTCGCCTTGCTCGTCAAACACGACAATCTCATCCACGCAGTAGATGACACAGGCGCGAGCGATCTGTCCCGCCAGGTATGTGCGCAGTTCGGTCGACTGAGCGTTGTCCAGGACCGAGCCCGGCAGAGCCACGCTCACCGTGTACGCTCGACCTAACAGAGACACACACGTGCGCACAAGTCACCATTTTTAAGGGAACATATGATTGAAGAGAGTTTTTTATGAAGTGGATTGTGCAGTTCTTTAAAAACTCTATTAAAGGGACACTACTGTAGTGATTAGGAAATAGGTGAGTGAATGATTCTAAACAAAGCAACTTGGGTTTTTCTTACACACACACACACACACACACACACACACACACACACACACACGCAACCATTTGCGCAGATACCTTGCACAGATGGGAAATTCATGTTACGTATAACAATGAGCAGATGTAAACATTGCGCGGTTTCTCCACACTCACTGGGGACACTCCAGGTATTGGAGTATTCTGGCCAGCTGAACGCACGCTTGTCCCTTCTTTCTGATTCCTTTGAATTCACCTTCCACGCTCCTGTGGACAAAAAAACAAAACAAAAACAAAAAACCCACTGAAGCTGAATATTGTTTACTTTTTGTGAGCAGGGTATTTTTCCACCTCCGACAAACTCACTTGACATCTTCGCCTTGCTCGTCAAACACGACAATCTCATCCACGCAGTAGATGACACAGGCGCGAGCGATCTGTCCCGCCAGGTATGTGCGCAGTTCGGTCGACTGAGCGTTGTCCAGGACCGAGCCCGGCAGAGCCACGCTCACCGTGTACGCTCGACCTAACAGAGACACACACGTGCGCACAAGTCACCATTTTTAAGGGAACATATGATTGAAGAGAGTTTTTTATGAAGTGGATTGTGCAGTTCTTTAAAAACTCTATTAAAGGGACACTACTGTAGTGATTAGGAAATAGGTGAGTGAATGATTCTAAACAAAGCAACTTGGGTTTTTCTTACACACACACACACACACACACACACACACACACACACACACACGCACACACACACACACACACACACGAATTCCAAGATCCCGTGCATGATTATTTCTCAAGTACCTTTGTTGTTGTGGGTCTCCTCTACTTTTTCCTTCTCAGCAGCCTCTTGTTGTTTCTGATTTTCCAGCTGTTTGATCAGCTTGGCCTCTTTCCTCTGCCTTTTGGCCTCCCTGACTGCTCAGCATAGGCAGAGAGAAGAAAAATAATCCATGAAAAATTCCATTTAAATTTCCAAAGAATAGAAACGTAAAAACTCAGTAGTGCTCAGATGTGTACAGTCACTTGTGTTGAGGTAACCTGCTTTTTAATGCACCATAGGTTAATGATTTTTTTTTCCCCGATGTATGGCCTATAAATGCTGTTTGGACACTAATGAGCACATTATTAACATTAATCAATTGTGTTTGTTTGTGAATGAAATATTCATTTGTATTTTGTATGCAGAGACGGTTTCAGTTTTCACATTTTCACTTATCAAAACGCCATTTTACATTACGGTACATTTCAGAATTGTTTAACTTAAGCACTTTTACTTAAGCATTGTAAATCTACATTGACCAAAGTCTTTCTTCAAACCATGCAAGTATTTTTGCTTTTACTTGAATACATTACAAAGTTTAAGTACTTTTGACACTTTAGCTGAAAGGGTCCACATCGTGCATCACGTTTTGGTCAGGAACATTACACATTAATCATAAAATATATGTAAACAAAAGAAGTAGCGTCCACACACTCTTTTTAGCGCAACATTTAACATGAAGCCGTTTACTCACGTAGCGTTTTCCTTTTCTTCCAGTCCACCCTTTCCTCCGGCTGAACGCAAAGGTAAAACACAATGACAAGTTAAAAAATGGCTTGGTACGTTGTTGGCATTGTTATTTCAGTGGCACGCTCGGTGTATATAGGACCTGAGAGTATGATGTTTTTGGTCTCTTCGTCGGGACGCCGGTAGACATGTTTCCCACAACGACACGTGAGGTCTTTATGCTTCCGGGTCTTCTTCTTCTTCGTTTACATTTATTCGTCTTCGTCTTCGTCTTCG